CTTCCTTCTTTCCTTCCTTCCTTCTTTCCTTCCTTCCTTCTTTCCTTCCTTCCTTCCTTCCTTTTTTCTTTTTTTCCTTCTTTTTTCCTTCTTTTTTCCTTCTTTCCCTTCTTTCCGTCCTTCCTTCTTTCTTTCTTTCTTTCCTTTTTTCTTTCCTCCCTCCCTTCCTTCCTTTCCTTCCTTCTTCTTTCCTTCCTTTCCTCTTTCTGAGTCACGTTGCAAGGTTAGAGAGAGATAGAAAAGGCAACTTAATAGTGCGTAATCATCTTTAAAAGACAGGATTTAGTTTTGACCTAATTACCTTTGTTTCCCAATATGTCGTATTTCCTTTCTCCATTTGGGGCTTCCAATTTTCCTCCCCTTTCGATGTCTTTTCCCTTCCGTCTTTTCCTATACGGAAATTCATCTTCAAAATTTAAAATGGGAAAAAAAATATGGTTCAAAGATCAGCCCCTCTGAATACGAAAGCTGCATTTCTATGTCTACATGCTGCTTTCTCAGAGTGGTGGGGAGGGAAAGATTTATTCCAAAGTTCGGCTGTAACTATAGTAACAAGAGCTTGGTGTGCTGCAGCTGGCAGTGTTAAAAACGGGCAGTTTTGAAACAGAAGTATATATTTTATTTCTTCTCGAAGATAATGTTCTCCCATTTTGTTCCACAATAATTAACTCGTGTAGTTTTCACACTTCTTCCCGTAGGCAAAAATAACTCCTCCTTACATAACCTTTGGAAACTGTGTATTTCTCCTGAAGTATATCTATCTCTGCTGCTGCTGCTGGTTGAATCTGTTGTGGGATCACTGTTACAGTGGTAGATCTAAAACTTTAGTTTTTTTTAGTCACTTGTGAGATATCTCCTACCTATTTTGAATCCTAGATGTGTCAGTGGCTACCTTATGCTTGCTTCTGCTTTGCTACCATGGAGTGGCAGTCTGCCATGAACTCTGAGGAGGGTGGATGGGAAGGGGGAATACTTGGGGGAAAGCGAAGGTAATCGCTGTATCTCCCTAAGATGCTGCTTCAAGGTCATCCAGGTGGGAGAAGAAGGCAGCTGCATACCAGCCTATGCTTTGAGTGACTGTTCTGAAAACATCTTGCTTGAACCTGATTGGTCTGGGGGTGGGGTCAGCGATGGGAGGCAGTTAAGGGAGGAAAAAGTTGAACTTGGGGATTTTGGTGCGCGATTCAGGGGTGGGTTTCTCGCCCCGTTCCAACCGGTTCAGTTGGAACGGGGCCCGCGGCGTCCTCGTGCACGCGCACGGTGCACGCCTCCGTACTAGCGTCTGTGCGACGCTCCAGCTGCTCCTGGACGATCGCGCAGGCGCTGTATGCGTCCTGCG